GAGAAGAACCAGGGGCGGTCTTACAGACGAGATGTCGCTTGAAGCACCCCGTACAAGGCATCTTGATTTCGCCCTCGGAGTCAATCAAAGCAGCGAGCGCCTTTCTTTGGTCGGTTTTGGCAGACGAACGTTTTATGACACGACCTGACATTTTGTCATGGTTAGTAAGGATGACAAGAGAAGAACCACCGCAGGCGGCTGGGACTTACTACTTATGGCCGCTGGGACATCGGCCTGGAGGAGGAGCATCATGTAACAACCAAGGAAGCAGGGCGGCCGCGAATCGACGACCCCGCGATCAGGGAGCGCGATAAGATAAGAATCGGGCCCACCTGGCAAATCACGTGATGGCTCACTCAGACATAAAGGGTGAGTCGTCGGGCTCACCAAGGACGCCGCAGTGAGCCAGGGAATGGCTCACGGGATAACACACCGTGATCCTAACATCATGGATCACCAACAACTAACCAGTGAGCCATCCAACATGAGCTCACCACCTAACACAACAAGGACAGGATGGCAGGTATATAAGGACGGACATTCTGGACTTGTAGATACATTCTTTCTCACGACAGTGATCAATCTAAGTCTTACCTTGTATTCATTGTAACGAGTGCGCAACGCCTTACGACACCACATCGTCTCAGAGTCACAACCTAAGCTTCTGCAAACAGCAACCCCAACCCTCTGGCAGTGTTCCCCCTTCGGAAGCTGCCAGGTCGTAACAGATGCCTATACTTAGTAGCGTTCTTCTCGAAGAAGCTATATAGACTAGAGCTTAATTATTAGATATATAATAAAGAACTTATAATAATTATCGAAGCCTTTAAAGAATAGAGAACGTATCTCTCTAGAGTACGATATAAAGTTAAAGTCTATATTAATTATAAGAATCTTATATACTTTATAATAAATAAAGACCTTAATAAATACTAAATTAGATAAGTAGAATTCCTTTCGGAATTTAACTTTATTATTATTTATTATAAGGGATTTAAGAATAATAGGGTAGATATCCTAAGTAAATGCTTAGATTATAAATAAAATATACCCCTTAATATTAACGCTATCTTAATAAAAGATAAAGAAGGGAATCTTATCCTTTATTATTAAACGCTAATAGTTACTACTTATATAATACCCGCTAGACTATTTACGGAAGTATTAGAATTAATTCGATAAATCTACGAAGCTAAGGCCTATAAGTACTAAGGAGTAGCGAAGACCTTCGCTTAATTTAAGAAATACTATAATTTTAAAAGAACTAGATAGGACGTTATAATAGTTATTCGTAATTACGACCTCTATAAAAAGAATAAAATAAAAAGGTATAAGCTTTATAGAGAATTTAAGGCTTTATTAATATTAATAATAGCTTAGGAGTTAATCTTATTAGACTTTATTATTAGCTTATTATTATCGAAGGAACCCTTAACTAGGACCTCTTACGATAATATCCTAATAATCGTAGATCGATTTACTAAGTATTTATATTTTCTCCCGTATAAAGCTATAGGAATAGTAGAAGACCTCGCTTATATCTTCCTTAGAAATATTATAGGATAGTATAGACTCCTAAAAGAATTAATATTAAATAGAGATAAGCTTTTTATTAATAACTTCTAGAAGTTACTTATTACTTAACTTAGAGCTAAATATAAACTATTTATAGCTTTTTATTTATAGATAGATAGATAAATAGAAAGAACGAATTAGATTTTAGAGTAATATTTCTAATATTATATTAATTATTAATAAGATAACTAAGTTATATTATTACTTATTATATAATTTATATATAATAGCTTACTAAATAAGTCTATAAAGGAGTTACCCTTCTATATTAATTATAAATATAACTTAATAGCTTATATAGAATACTACGAAGTATTAAATATATTAAAAATAATTAATATTATAGCTAATATCCGTAAAATCTAAGACTAGATTAAGCTTAACCTTAAGCTTATATATACTAGAATAACTACGTACGCTAATAAAATAAGGATAAAGGGACTATCTTTATAGGAAGGAGGTAGTATCTACTTTATCTACTAAAATATTAAAATTAAACGATTAAACGATAAATTAAACTTTAAGAAATTAGGACCTTTTAAAATTCTTAAGAAATTCTTAGATATTAATTACTACCTCTTATTACTAGAGAATATAAAGATTTACCCCGTTTTTTATATAGTATTTTTAGAACTAATACTACTAAATATACTACTTATAACTAATATAGAAATAGAAGATATAAATAAATACGAAATCGAAAGAATTATCGATTATAGAAAAACGAATAAATAAAATAAATACCTTATTAAATAGAAAAACTATAAATATAAAGAAAATATATAGGAATTAATTAAGAACTTAAACTATTTATAATTATTAAAGTAGTATTATTAATCTTAAAGAAATTAAGCGACTCCGGGTTAAAGGAGCTTAAAGCGCTCTAATTAATAACCCTAAAACCCCTAGCCGCTTATACGGCTACTATAGCCTTAGACTCCTCCCGCTCCGTAGAATCTAACTCGTCTAGAGACTATAACCCTTAGTTTATTATCTTTATACCCCTCTTATAAAGAGATCGCTTCTAAATACGAAGGCGCTTTAAACGATTAAGAGCTTCCGCTATTTAAGATTATAGCTCCTCTAAATACGCCTCCTTATCTAGCTCCTTCTTATCTAGCTTACTTAGCTCCTAGGTAATACGAGATATTATTATAAATTAGCGGACTAAGAAAGCGAGAGAGATATTACTATAAGTATTTATAAGCGTTAACGAATACCCCCGAATTATTATAGGAGCAATTATAATAAACGTATTTAGAGTAGCGACTAATACTCTCTACTATATAATACTTCTAACCCTTCTATTAATAGAAGGAATATAGTATAACGTCGTAGCTACGAAGCTTAATAAAATTAAATTATTCTTATCGCTTTTAAATAAATAAGGATTTTAGTTTTTCGATACGATTCGATATTTTATTAATATTATAAAGGAAGAATAAGTTAAAGGATATAATTACTTAGGGTATAGCGCTTATAAGTAAAGGTCGCTAGGATATCGACTTAGAGGAGGAGAATTATATAACGCCCTAGCCTAGTCGTTACTAGGATACTAAGTAGGATACCCCGTAGGCGATCGGATACGCTATACGGACCTATAGGATCACTTACGTAACTATAACTAGATCACGATTCTTAAAGTAATCCGGTTATTAACTATACTATAACCTAAGTAATAGGATTACGATAAAAAAAGTAAGCTATTTAATATAGATTTATTAACCTAATACGATAAAGATAGAATAATAAATATATAAGGACGGGCATTTAATACTTATAGATATATTCTTTCTTATAATAGTAATTAATCTAAGTCTTACTTTATATCTATTATAATGAGTACGTAATACTTTACGATATTATATCGTCTTAGAGTTATAACCTAAGCTTCTATAAATAGTAACCCTAACCCTCTAATAGTATTCCCCCTTCGGAAGCTACTAGGTCGTAATATCCCCCTAAAAATAATAAGGGGAGGGAGGGCCTCGCCTATAGTAGATACGTACTTAATAATAGTAGTCTAGGAGCGTGAATCGGCTATCTATATATAGCATTTCCGACGCCCTACTTGGCCTAGAACTAGGCCGTTAATTCCTATGCCCTCTATAATACCCGTCTCGTCTATATTAAATCGTAGGTATAGAGGAATAGCCTTAACGTTAAGGGCGTTAAATAGAAGGAAGAAATCCTTAAGACGTTAAATAGTAACGCCCTTAATACGGCTAGCTTCTATTCGCTTACCTAGGAGGGTCGTAATAGAGGGATTTCGCTATTTAAAGCCTTCTATCTAATGCCTCCTAAGGGGAATATCGTCCCTTTAAGCGAGGAGGATCTAGTATATAAAGTCGAGGACTTAAGAGTATAAAGGGGCGAACCCTAGGGCGCTTTATTTAACGATCTAACGGGCTAGGTACTATTCCTGAACCTAACTAAGCCTCTAATAGGGAGCCTTTACTTTACGGATCGTTATTACGCCCTTAAGTCTCCCTCGAAGCGTTATAGTAGGAACGTTCTAGTTATACGAGGCCTTACGCGTCGAGCAGCTATTACTAATAGCCTAAAGCGTATTTAAAACGTCTTCTTTAGTATAGCTCTTTATTCTAAATCTAATAATATAGTTAGCGTAACTATTAGACTAAGGGTAGGTAAGATATCGCGATATACGTACTATTAGGGGGCAATTTTCGGGTGTTGAAAGTAGGTAGAATTAGTGCGCGGAGTTGGGGGGGCGCGGAGTTGTGGGTGTGGGACTTAGGTACCTACCTACCTACCTTAGGTAGGTAGGTGTAGGTATCGCGCCGTGATCGTTGTGGTACTGGCGCCCGCGCTTCACCACAACATCAACCGACGCCAACCTCCGTCTCCGACGACGACCTTCCGTTCGAGCGCTTCTCCTCGACCTGAGGTAGTCGCCACAAACTTCTTCACAGTAGACTCTAAGCATACATATTGGGTATCATATTTTTTGCATACTGTTTGGATTTAGCCCAAGAGCGGGTCACGACGCGTCAAGCTAGCCACCACCTCCGCTTCTGATCTCCCATCAGCACAAGCTGCCGACACGACAATCAATCGCAGAATAATAGCCAACAGACAACTGGGGTCCTTCCTCCCAAACCATTACGTTCCTCAAATCCCGCCCTGAACAACGCGTTCCCAACCGCAGAGTCATTCCTGACGCGTCGCTATACCCGATTTCGCTTCGATTTCGACTGGAACCCCGAGGACTCTCACATACATGGCCACTGTCATATTCGCAATACTTTGAGAATTAGCGCCTCGGAAGGAGCTGGTTCTAGACGGAAGTCAAAGCTCTTTCAGAACCTGGGCTCATTTGGGTTCGCAGCGCGTCCTGAAGGCAGGAACCAGGAGGAGGACAAAGTGCTTTTGTGGGAGGCCAATGGGACGCGGGATCGCCCAGAATGCCTACTATCCAGGTGTCGCCAGATGCAGATGAGCTGCTACAGAGTGTCGCCAATGGAATCTTGAAGTCGAGGAAGATTATTGTTGTGACTGGCGCCGGCATCAGTACCAACTCTGGAATCCCCGTAAGGAGGCGCAATGGTTCAGAATATCTCAAGAGCACCGGCTAATGATTGCCCAGGACTTCCGATCCGAAAATGGCCTATACGCACTCATCCAAGCGCAGTTCGACGCTGCGAACAAAGATCCCAAGTCCCCAACTGCCTTGACACGATCAAACTCTAGCACCTCCGTTGGTTTGACGGAGTCGCACGAGGATGGCCCTCCAACGAAGAGACGCAAGCTTGAGCAAACCGACGATACTATGCGGCAAGCCTCGCCTGGCGCTGCTTCCTCGCAAACGCAGGATGATCAAGTTGAATGCTTGAGGAATGGAGATTATGTCAAAATTGAAAGCCTACATGCTGAGGAGCCCATGCCCCGTCAAATGACTGAAGATCATGGGTGCGCGCGGCGAGACCAAAGGGAAGATGCAGATCAGGCCACGGGGGATAAGCCTAGGCCGACCACTATCAGTGGTGCCGTATCTGATTTCATGACCGAAACCCTGCGCTTTCCGACCACCAATCTGGGCATGACGGGGCCATCACGGGCGAAGCGCCATCGACAGTCACGCCGTCGTAGCAGCTGGGGGCATTCCTCGACATCAGCCAGCTTTTTATTGACAGCAACATCGCCGAAACCAGACCAGCACCCGCGGACGTTGCATATCGCGCCAGCCCTTCAGACGAGCAGCACGAGGGCAGCATCGCTCTCACCTCCCTTGAAGCCTCACTACGACGTCGACTGTGGGCGTTCAGAAGTACGGAATGCAGCACGGACAAGAAGGGTGTCTATGTCATCCTTGACGCACCCGCTTGATGATGAAATTCTGCAATGGGCCTGGCAAATGCAAGATCAACCCGAGTGCCCGTCCAAGGACAATCCGAGTAACGAGCAGCCCCAAGATTCATCACCCCGATTGCCAAGACTCCCGCCGTCTTTGCTCTCCTCTATACTCCCGGTCTCGCGCTCAACACCAAAGCAAATGCACCTGCCCTTTACGTCTTCACCTTTGTCATCTCCTTTGGCAAGTAGTCAAAGACCCAGATCTTTCCTTGCCAGGAGGAAGGCCAGCGAGGTTCACACGCCTTCACGCTTGGTACAAATACCAATGGCACATGATTCTTCGCCTCTTTCGTCGCCCCCCCCAGTTCTTTTTGACCCATTCAATCAGGTGTCTTCGTCGACAAGCCAGCAAAGCTTAAGCGCAGCTGGTAGCACGACTTGCTCAGAGACTGACGAGACGCCACCATCATCCCGTCCATCCTTGATATCTCAAACCTCGAATCCCGTACGATCTACTCTCCCCAACATCAAAGGGCGAGATCTTTTCGATATTTCTATTTGGTCAGATCCATTGAGGACCTCGGTGTTTTATACTTTTGCCACGACCCTCCGACAAAAGGCTCGCGATGTGCAGCCCACTGCATCGCACCTCTTCATTAGCCATCTCCGTGATCGCGGTAAACTCGTCCGATGCTACACTCAGAATATCGATCAGATTGAAGAGAAGGTTGGACTTTCCACGTCCCTCCAGCAGGGCCCAGGGAGCCGCGGTCGATTCTCGCGTAAATCTGCAGGCGGTTTCTCAGCACCGAGCTCGCAAGGTGGAGAGGGCGAGGCGAACGAATCAATCGTCAAACGAGACGCTGCCAACGGTGGAGTCGAGTGCGTATTCCTCCACGGATCTTTGCAGTCTCTTCGGTGCTTTCTCTGTGGCCGCATTTGTGAGTGGGATGAGGGCGGACGATCTGTCGAGACGCTATCCGGAAGACAGCCTGAGTGCCCACACTGCGTTGGGGCCACAGTTGCCCGAGAGGAAAGGGGCAAAAGGGCTCTCGGTGTGGGCAAGCTCCGACCTGACATTGTTCTTTATGGCGAAGAGCACCCCAACGCGCACCTGATCGACCCCCTCGTCAAGCATGACCTCGCCCTTTATCCGGATTCCTTGCTGATTCTCGGCACGTCGCTCAAGGTACATGGTCTGAAGGTTCTCGTCCGCGAGTTCGCAAAAACGGTACACAGCAAGGGAGGCAAGGTCATATTTGTCAATTTCACCAAGCCGTCGGAGAGCTCTTGGGGTGACATTATCGACTATTGGATCCAGTGGGACTGCGATGCCTGGGTATCCAATCTTCAAGAAAGAGTCCCTTTGTTGTGGCTGCCGCCAGGAACCAAGCTTCCGGTGCCTGGCAAGAAAAAACGCGAGAGTTCCGGTGAGACCAAGGCTGCAAAGGGGCGGTCTAGCGGCGATGCTGGCAAACCAGTAGACACAGGCAATCCAATCATACCTGACACGAAAGACATGGACGAGGACTCTCATCATGATCCTCTTGGCCACCTGGAACAGACCTCCAAGACAGCTGCGCCACGACGACCGCAAGTCATGCGAGAAGATAAACACAATGCGGCATTCTTGACTTGGCAGATAGCAAGGGACCTTCGAAAGATTACTGGTGACGAGTCACCCTTGGTATCTTTCACTTCATTACAAAGAGACGCGCGGCTGGCTCGCTTTAGCGGATCGACTCCCTCATCTCCGACACCAGTGGTACCTGAGTGCTCTTTGAGAACGCCCGTGCCGAACCCGACAAGAACAGCGGGTTCGCACAGACCCTCGTTGCCGTCGTCAGCATCATGTTCTGTGTTGCCCTCGGCTACCATCCTGTCCCGAACGCCTCTGCCCACTGAACCTCTACCAACACTGGCGACAGCGAGGCGGGCATTAGATGATCATCAAGAAGCAAAGGCCGGGCAACCACCGGAGCCCGAGTCGTCCGTGGCGACGAAGAAACGCAGAAGAGACTCACGCCGTACCCAAAAGGCGCCGTCTGCGGGTGCTGAAGCGAATGTTTCTGCGAGAGCTATGAAAAAGAGAGCAGGCGCCAGAAAGCAAGGGCCCGGTTGGATTTATGTCTCGGAAGAAGATATTCAACTTGGAGAGCCTGTGGTTCAGGCAGTCGGGCAAGGTCTGGTTGTAGAAGCTGGTATTGAACACGACTTATCGGCAACCATTGGCGCAGCCATCAAGGCCAATCCACGCAAACGGAAGCGCAAGATGATCGATGGCGAGGAGGTTATCCTTCCTGGTTCTGTCCGACGTACTGTCCCGTCGACGCCTCGAACGATCCCGTCCAAGGGCATCAGCAGGCCACCTCTTACGGACACATCCACCCCTCTGGCTCTACCCTTGCCATTGACTCCAGCTGCAGCATCGCCGCCTAGGCTTCAGAGCGCCATGGGTATTTCACCCAACATCGTCTCGGACCTTCGGCGAGTCTCCATGGACACGATGGAGCTGGCGCCGATCTACACTCCCGCTGACCAACATCATCAGGGGCCAGTTCAGATGCCTTTGACACCTGCAAGACTAGTCCCATTGGAGCCACGTTCCCCGCCGTCGGGACCTCTGAGCAGGATATCGCCTAACATGGGGCCCTTTCAGTTGAATCCTTTTAAGTACTTCGATTCTCTTGTTTTAAAACTTCGTCAGCCACCCGCATGGATGGGGTGGACACCGGGCCCCGAGGAACAGCTGAAGAGCGAGACTGACGCTGCCCTTGCGTTGGGTCAAATGAGAATGGGCTCATAGGGCTTGCATATAGCTCATACTAGGCCACTGGCCAAGCGTGAACCGTCGACCATGACGGGAATTTATGAATTATGACATTGCTTCTCCTGAATCTGGTTCCAACGGGATATGCGATCTCACATCTGTATTTTCGGAAGTCATTTGATGACTATTTGCTCTACATCTATACTTGCTCGGGTTCTAGGTGCCGTCCCCGTACTTTTTGAAGGAATGGCGACACTTTAAGTTCCGCAGCAGTCAGACGGAAATGCCCATGAGCTCAGCGGTGGATCGCTCATGGGAGGAGATTCGTAGGTGTTGGCACCTGAGCCGGTACTGTAATACAGTAGGAAATGAGCGACGATAAAAGGTGTTATAGGGTTTGAGGCTGGGTAAGCAGCGAATCGCTTTTTCGGAGTCAAATAGATTCCTCTCGTGCTGCGGGTGAATAATATTGACAAAAAGAAGGGATGAGATGTTACCGTGTCGCATGGACACGACGTGGAGCAATGGCGTGCCAGAGTCACATGTAGTGGCTTGCCCAGAGCAGCCGATCTGGACATTGGGACTCGGGCGCCCTCTTCTGCTGGAGAAGGCGACGAAAGGACGCCTGTCAGGACGCTTCAGGGATTCCAGGCCCCTCGATTTGAGACGGCGGAAGGCGACCTACGGGGGCCGCGAAGCTTCGCTAGCGAGGGACGCCTCCGCTTTCCTAGCGCTGGTGCCTGTTAGCTCAGGTACCGTGGTTGGCCTGTCTCGAGATTCCCAACGAGTTGGTTGAGCTGTGCTCTGTGATTTGAAATTAGCACCTTGTCAAAGCGACCCAGCACTCCGTCTCTCCTCTATACTGGGACCAGGCACAGATCTCTTCCTATTGGTCTTGCTGCGTCTTCCGTTGAAACCCTGTATGCTGGCTATATCGCTGTCAAACCACTGGTCTGGTTCGTCTCCGTCTCGGTAAACGACGTTCTATCATTCCCAAAGCGCCCCTTGGGCAATGCTAAATCGTAATCAGCCTTGGGCATGACGTAAGGATCTACAACAAAAATGATCTGTCTATTGGTGTTGCCTGGGTGTCCAACCATGTGAGGATATCTCAAGCCACCCCTCCCATACACTAGAAACGTGACCACTTGGTCGGCCGTCGTTAGTAAACCTTTAAGGATCGCTTACACCACTGGGCTGAAGCCACGAAGTTGAACCAGGCTGTGAGCGAGAGGACCATATTCTTGATACTATGGCATCGTTCTGGGCTGTTCGGACCTCGATCTGAAAGAAGGACAACCCCCAGACACGAACACATGGCGCTTGAAACATACAGGCCCAGGCTGAAGCTATCGATCGCATGGACCCAATCAGAAATGCCGTGGTTCCGGGGATGTGGGTATTTGATTTCCCTGCTGAGACTGTTTGGCATTATTCTCCGATACAGGCCAAGTACATTTGTTTCTTGTGGCAGCGCTAGGCCTGATAGCTGAGGTCTTCGCTTGGAGAGCTGCGACCCTCGAGCCTCCACCACAGTACGTGTACTTTTTGTCTCTTGACTCGTTGAGCAAGCTCTTGGCTGGCAGGGCAAAACCTAAGACATCTGGACCGTCCATCTGTGCGACGCTCTTTCGCTCAACTCTCCGGAAGCTTAAGTTGTCCGGCAAGACCCGCGGCAAACTCGGCATTCGCAATTAATACACATGGCACCAGGATCCAAGGCCCACAGAACGCCTTGCTGACTGTATCTGGACGCCTCAGTAAATAGTCCTGACCCTCTAGGGGACACCCTAACCTAGAAGGGCCCTCCTTGGGCTTTCAGCATATCACTTGCAATTGTTTCGGCGCCCGTCCCTCATCCCGCATCCTGATCTCCGCTGTTTCGCGGATGTCATCCCCCATCGTTCCATTCGCTGCCTCGTCAATGACCCTTATGATTTGCATGACACCAGTACCCTGCTGGCGTCATCCAGAAACCGGCCAGTCCCTTTGTGACCGTGCAACCCCGTCCCCGTCATCTTCTGGGCGTGCTTGAGACACACCTGTAGTATACGACCCTCGGGATTGGAAGTTCAGGCTGCGGTGTACGGGGAAAGCGTCTGATGCTAATGCAGGCTGGTCCCGACAGCTCTTCTTCATCCAGTAGGCCTATGCCACGGTATTAAGTTTAGCGTGGGCCCACGGGCTGTTCCTTTGCTGCTGGGGTGGGAAGAGCTGCATCTCTTGACAAGACCAACCAAACTCCCTCTTCTAACTTGTGCCCTATCATTATCGCCTCCCCCGGCTCAACCTCCGATTTCTGCTCTCGTTCCCTAGCCCTCCTCAATCTCTTGCCAGCACTGGTCCTGCATCTGGCAGTCTCCTGACGTGGTGGGAAAAGCCACTTCACAAACTACCTAGGTATCGACGAACGTGGGCCACCGCCACAAGGTTCCGGAAAGCCATAGCATAAGAAGCCGCCGTAGGGCCGTCAGGGAGAACGTCACCGGCGACACCCTTCACTTTGTTTTGACATTTTCCATCAGCGGAACCTATTTTTCATTACCGAGCCGCGCACCCGTACCACCCTTGATCCTTTTCGTGTCCCATCTTGGGGCCTCTTCCCGTCAACCGAAAGCCTGAAGCTCGAACTTTACCGCCCTGGCTCCGAAGGTCGACGACGTTACATCCGAAGACCCCTCCAGCGTTGGTCAGCTGTGTACGCAAAAGCGTCGTCTTCTTGCTACTTTGTCTTCGCTGGTATTCACAAAAGAACGGATGCCCACAACACTTAAATTGAAATCCTTTTCGAAATCGCCCCCAAATACATCTGCTCTCGTCATCCAAATCAAGTAACAGTACCCATCCGGCTCCGGGCCCACGCCAAACAAGCATAGCTGCAGCAGTCATCCCCCGGAACGACAACAGTCAGCAGACATGGGACCAGCCACGACTTCGTCATCACCCGCTGGCGAGCCGGGGTTTCTCAGCCGCCTCATTCGTCGCGCTTCGATGCGGCGGAGCAACGGTAGCATAGCTGCCATTAATAACTTTGAGGATGCTTCCGCAGCTGCAGCAGGAAGGGGAGCTCCGCCCACGAACACGGGTCCGTCGCCTGGCGGCGCCAGCGAGGTACAGGGCACTGCACCTAGCAGACGGGCGGATGATGTCTATGCACTGCGGCGGCCCGTTGACACAGTGAGAAGCAAGCTTCATAAGATCGATGAGGGCTCGGCAGCGTCGCCCTCGTCCGCCCCAAAAGAAGCTCCTCTCCCCGCTCCCGTCGTTGTAGACGACGGCCTCCCCCTGCGCAAAAAGTTTATGTTTCGCCATCAGTCCCTGCTGCTGACAAAACCGACTGCTACTCCTGCTGCCACCACCACCATGGCACTGCCCTCAACCATGCAATCGACGAAGTTGCGATCCAAACCCAGCTTTCGAAATCGCTTCTGGGCCGCCTCATCATCAAATGACTTTGGCAACGACATTGACAACAAGGGAAACGTCGCCGCCGCAAAATCGACGACGCCACGCACGGCCTACGTGCCCCGCCACGCGGCCTCTGACTTCTCCGAAACGACGGCAGCTAACCGTCGTCACCACCGAGCCGTGTCGCACGACAGTGCCGTGGGTTCAACAGCAAATGTGTCGAAGTCCGTTCTGATAGAACATACGCCGATGCCGGCCCTCACCGAAAGACGGACGACGAGAGGAATCGACAGCAGCAGGATGTGAAGTGTATTGATGCGCGGAGGCGGAGTCACGGCTCGCAATATGAAGCGATGGCGCACCGCGGCGCGAGTTTCCATGCGAGGGTCGCGGCCGGACGCGTTCGTTTTTTGCAAGCCACCAAAACCAACCCGATAAGCAACATCACCAACATCAACATTCCCTCGAGAAGCGCGAGAACGAAAATCCGTTCCTCGTTGCGTCAGAAAAGGCGCTGGCCGGGGCAGCCTCACAGCCGTTCAATGCAACCAAGGAGGGGGAAGACACTTTCACCGACTACGACCGCTTTGTGGCGAGGGCGCACGCCGAGGAGATGGCCATGCGCGTCAACGCCGTGCGGCGCAAACGGCGGGAGAGCAAGCGGGACAGCGCCTGCTACTCTGGCAAGAGGGACAGCCCCCGCACGAGCGACGAGGAAAGTGGCAGCAGCTCGATTGACGATGCCATCGTCGTCAAGAGTCCCGGGATCGTACACCCGATCGCTGGGCCGGGCTTGAGGCGGCAGAGCAGCATCGTTGCACAGAGGATTTCCCAGTACATCAGGCCGCCGAGAGAAGAGGCTGTGGTGAGGGTTGAGAGACCTGTGGGCCGAATGGGAATTGTGAGGGAGGTTTGACGGATGGCGCGTGCGTGGGGGCATGTTCTTCTTTTTTTTCTCTCCTTTTTCTCTCCCAAGCCGGCGTTGGAGGTGTATATACCAGGACCCTCGTGTTAGAGCGCGAGAGCTCACACGACTTTTCATTTGTACAAATTAAGAATACAGTCTAATTTATTCTAACAAGCGTTCATTGCTTAATTCAACCTGGCTAGCATCCCCCCCAGTGATGCGACGATCTCCCCTACCCAGGTATCATGTCCGAGTGTTTGGTCATCAATTTGAACCCTGGACAAAGAAGGCAGTGGTCTACATGACTGCCGCCCGAATGGGCCGAAGCGGGCCAGCCATATCGCCTTCTAGACCCGGGAAGATGGGTGCCGATCGGAGACGCCTGTTACTTTTATTCGGATGTAAGTTGAGCTGATTATGCTTTGGCCACGTTTGCCGACTGTGTCTTCGGGCAATGCAATCGTAAAGTTTAAGGATGAGCTGAGCGACTGTTATCATCTACCTTCAGCAGTCTCAACTTGGCGGTCGACAACTGCTGATATGAATACAGACTTGGCAGATAAAATGGATATGAAAATATCGTCACGTCAATTTGGATGGCGATATCCCGGGTTCCCTCCTCTTTCTTCGAGGGTATATCCAACACGTAACGGCAATCAACGCTATTCCTTCTTCTCATCCTCTCCTGGGGTATCATTTTCTCTCGCTCTCTCCACACGGCGTCCTCTACTTGCCCCCCGGCCAGGACTCATCGAACCGTCACCCGATCTCTCCATGTGACGGCCCCTCGTGGGACTTAAAGGCGTGTCGTACGTGACCCGCCGCGTCTCAATATCCGGCACCGAGGAGCGGATCCCCGCGTCGGCCTTTTGTTCCGCCTCCTCTGCGGGCTCGGGCAGCTTAATCGTGGGCTCCGAGGCTGCCGCCACCAGCCGCTTCTCCGTGCCTTCGTCATTGATCGTGCCGTCAGATGCGGCTGCACGCTTTCGAATGGCGTTGGCGAGGGTTGCGGCGTCGAGCAGTTCTGACTTTCTCCGCTCACCTTCCTCGTCACTTCCACCGGGACCCCGCGAAGGGGCTCTTGATGCAGCCCGGCTCCTGGTCCGCTCACTGGCCGCGCGGCTCACGGCCCTCGAGTGTCGTCGGCTCGCCCAGCGGCTTCCGCGCCCGCCCTCTTCCATGGTGATGGCGTCACTATCCCAGCCCTCAAAGAGATCGCACGTCTGTAGACCCCAGCGCTGGTCGTCGCTTATGGACTGGCCATGGCACTTCAGCAGCAGACCGACGACGACGGGGCCGACAATGGTACTCAAGACGGTGGCCCACGTGGCCACGATGAAGGCGTCCTCAGAGAGATACGCTGTCTCGTTGAGGCCGATCTGGATGATGAGCAGGCCGATCTCGCCGCGGGCGACCATGGCGACACCGAGGAGCATGGCGGGCTTCCAGGTCGAGGAGGCGAGCTCGCGGGGACGGAGCATGGGCTTCTCGGCCACAAAGTCGCGGATGGGAACGATAGCGCCGACGACGAGCTTGCCAGCGAGCATGAGAAGTGTGAAGACGACGCCGCGCCAGATAGCCTCGCCCGTCCAAAGCTTCTTGAAAGGGATGGCGAAGCCGATGCTCGCAAAGAACATGGGTTGGAGGATGTACGTCTGCGCGCCGAGAAAGTACTTCTCGAACGTGTGAACAAAGGTCGGCGTTTTGTCGGGGTCCGACTCGCCATGTTCACGGTCAAAGACCATGAAGGGCCCATCTGGATGGATGCATGGCAGGGCGCTGAGGAAAGTGCCAGCTAGGAAGGATCCGTAGAGGGCTGAGGCGCCGGCAAAGCCTGCGATGCTGACAAAGGCACAGAGCGTGATGAGCATGAGGAAAATGTTGGAGGTATGCTTGTATCGCGCGAAGATGTCCTCGATATACCAGCGGAATATGGGTCCGGCGACAAACTTGGCGACGAGCGGGGTCAGGATGCCGAGGAGGGCACTCGCGAGGATCGGCCTACCAATGAGCCATCCGAGGTTGACGTCGTCGCCTCCGTCTGCCACAGAACCCAGGTTGTGGATGACGCTGGCCATGATGAGGCCTGTCACGTCGCTGACGACAGCTGCGCTGATGAGCACCGTTCCGACCTTTGTCTTAGCAAAATCGATGCCTTTGGCGGCGCTGCCGATCACCACAAAAGTCGTACCGAGCGATGTCACAGAGAGGGCGGCGCCGATGATGAAGGTCTCGACAGCACCATAGCCGAACCCAGTGTGAAGAAGAGCAAAGCATAGCCCTATGGGAATGAGGATGCCAATGGCGGCTGCGCAAAAGCTGAGGAAGAAGTTGGCCTTGAGAAGGCCGAGATGAACGGTCAGGCCGCCTGTGATGTCAGCCAGATCAGTCACCGCATGGCAACTTTGTCAAGGGCGATAAGGGAGTGTACCTTCAAAGATGATCAGAATGAGCCCGATGTATCCCAGGCTCACGAAAGTCTCCTGCCACTCAATGGGCATAACGTTGCCAATGGGCATGCCATATAGCAAACCGACGATCATTTGGCCGATGAGGCCGGCCTTGAAGATTTTGTCGGAGATCCATTCTGCGAGGGCGAGGAAAAAGAAGAATGAGATGATGATCAGAATCTGTTGAACCTGAGGCTCATGGTATTCGAGGAAGCCCGCAGCCGCAGCAGCGTCGGCGTCGCCAGCCATCACACAGATGCCGTGACGTCAATAGCCTCGTCTGTGTTTGCCTGATCAATCGATGGAGCAAGGTCGTGAAGTAGTGGTAGGGCTCGGTCCAAGTTCTTCTTGGCATATCCTTCTGGTCTTTCAGTATGCACAGACTACGAAGGATCAGTTCTGGGTCGAGGGGACACGCAAACTAAATAAGACAACCCGCTAAAAGCCATGTACTCCCTGTATTATGAACAAACAGTCCGTGGCGTCCCGGTCCCATGGTCTTGTCCCCTGGCTGGCTTCGGGCAGCTCCCGTGAAATGATGCCAAGGTGGCCGTGACCCCAGAAATGTGGACGTCGACAGGCTCTTCCCACCCAATTTCAGCTACAGCCCTTTCATGCTTTTTGCACCCTGGGTTCCTGGGACGGGAGCCGTGCTGGACCAGGGTGGCTTTACGTTGTGGGCGGGAAGGTTCGCCACGGACGACTGGGCGATAATCGGCTATGATATCAGGGCGTCTGGGCGGAACTTCGCCTCAACGCCGAGACATGGGGCGGGTAACACTAAAACGGCCCAACATTGCACATGCTGCATGGTAGTTTGTCCCGATTGGTGCAGAGTCGAAAACACAACGCTTTCGCGCGATACTTCAGGCCAGTTGATGGGTTTCCAAGAAATTCTCTGGCCCCCCCTAACGCGTCATGGAAAGGAAGCAAGCATGAGGCCATCAAGCGATCCGGGCCTTGGGATGGACGCCTGCTGTAGAGTTGAGAATGATGACGCTCGAGACAACGGAGATAATGGTGCGCCAGCATTCGACTTTTCTTAGAACGCCAAGTGAAAGAGAGGGTGTGGCCTGCGACGATGAGATGTGACAGAGGTGAGAAATGCAAGACAAGTACTTACGCTTGGCCAGAATTGACAGCGGGTGAGATGTGTAGCTTAGAACAGGTCTCTGGTTTCAGTCCAACGTGCTGCGTTGTAGGACTCCAGCTGGTCTTTGACGCACAGACCGAGAGACAAGGCAGCGAGTACAAGCACAAGCACAGGCAAGCCAGGGCACCCTGACGGCGAACCATGTGCTGTCAAGGACCCAATCTCGCGGGCTCCGTGGCCTGGTGCTGGTGTAGCATTCCAGCTGATGAGACATGACTAGATCCGGGAAGATTGGACATCCCCCTCTCCTGAGCACGGAGCCGCACTGATGGCGCCTCCTTCTCGGGGGACAGGGGTCTTGATCCGGCAACGAAGAGAGAAACAATATTTTGATTCCATGATAGGGACGCGAGCTTGCGACATCTGGACTCGTGGTGCCGGGGATGAAGGCCAATGGACGAGCAACTTGGTATCTTCAACGAGTCCGATGGGGCGTCTGGTATCACATTGGCCTGATATTGATAGTGGTGCAATGCTGAAGGTGAGACAGAGATGCGTCGGAAAGGGTTCAGCGTTCAGCTGCCGGAAAGAAAAGAATTGAATAGCTTCCTGATTACATTCACCGCCGAGTCGAGAAGCGGTCTGTTGTTTGTGTGTAGTGATGGATATCACGATGCCATTCATTGGTGTTGATGATGGTTTCTGTCGAGACAGAAGGCTGATGAGATGAGCCTCTCAAGCACGAACAGAGCCCCAGCAACAGGGGATCTGGAGATCTTGAGGCAGGCTTCACGCTGATTGACGTGATTCAGCCGATAGAGATGCTGACCTAATCAGCCATAAGGCAGCCAGCCAATGCGACGCTTCTCTGCTACACTCGAATTCGAGGTGGATCCCCCCTTTGCCATACGGCGAAAAAAGTACACATCTTCCTCTCCCGCTCTCCACACAAGGCCTGGTCGCTCCACCACACACATTGGACCCTCGCCTTCGACGAGCTTCTGTTCCGTGCCGCCCATCAACAGGACACGATACGACTTGTCTCCTGAACCTCAACGGATCAAGGAGCCGACACTCTGCGACTGCAACCCGCGTATTGCCCCAACGACGCCGATGCAGTGACGAGCCGAATCACTTGCATTCGACGAAACACCTCATAGCTTTCGTCACGATACTTTCCCCCCCCCCCCCCCCCCCCCCCCCAGGACCCCCTGGTGGAGGGGGGGTGTTTTTTTTTTAGGAGGAAATATTGGCGGAGGGGGGCGCCGGTGGGAATGACCAAAAAAAAGGGGGGGGGATGGGGGGAGCGCGAGCACCGGAAATCTCAAGCGGAAAAAATGGGCCTTTCGGCGGATTGAGGGCGGGTGCTTCCGGAGCAGGAGAGAACGGCAGGAAACAGAATGGGTTCGTGGGAGAGAAAAGATGTTGGGGGAACGCAGCCAACCATGCTCGCCCCTTAGCGGGATTGAGAAGACATGAGACACCCCGCTAAACTCTTGTAGGCGAAGAAAGGAGAGCAAATAGAGTGATACTACTCTGTTGCGCTCC